GGGAGCCCGATGTGGGACTCGATCCCGGGACTCCAGGATCATGACCTGAGCCGAAGGCAGTCGCTTAACCAACTGAGCCACCCAGGCGCCCCCGCATCCAACTCTTGATCTCAGCTCAGGTCTTCATCTCAGGGTCATGAGTTCAAGCCCCATGTTGGGCTCCATGGTGGTGTGGAGCCTACTTCAAACAAACAACAACAAAAACATGCAAAGAAAAAGCGCTCGGACAGGGGTAGTGGCTAGCCCCCACCCCCACCCCCATCACGCAGGAGCCTGCATCAGTTGCCAACAGGAGCTTCTGTCCTAGTCCTGGCCCACCTAGGAGAGAGACTCAAGAGCTGGCTTACCGGTTGACCAGGTTAAAAACAAACAATTAGCCCAAAGTCACTTTGTCCCTTGGTGCATGTGCACTTGAAATTTTTTCGAAGGAGCAGGTTGCCATTGTCTCCACACTAGTCCTCCCATCAAACTAACAAGACACAACAAGGCCAGCTAGGATTTACAATCACTGCAGCTCTCGGATTATTGTTCTAACCTGGTGCAACCAGATGGGGAAGATGTTCCCCCTATTTGTTTGTTCTTTATTTGGTAATTAGCCACATCTCGCAGCTGCACAAGCAGAAGTTCTGCAATATCTGACTTGGTTGTCTAATAAAAAATAATAACTTTAGGATTGAGATTATTTATAAGATGCAGAATTTCAATTAAAAAATATATATGGAGGGGCACCTGGCTGGCTCCTTTGGTAGAGCGTGGGATGCTTGGTCTCAGGGTCATGAGTTCGAGCCCTGAGTTGGGTATAGAGTTTACTTTAAAAAAAACTAAGTTTACACCTGGGTGGCTCAGTTGGTTAAGCGTCTGCCTTCAGCTCAGGTCATGATCCCGGGGTCCTGGGATTGAGCCCCACATCGGGCTCCCTGCTCAGCGGGAAGCCTGCTTCTCCCTCTCCCACTCCCCCTGCTTGTGTTCCCTCTCTCACTATCTCTCTCTCTGTCAAATAGATTAATAAAAAAGTCTTTAAAAAAAGGAAAAGGGAAATGAAGGCAGGACTTCAACTGTTGTTTCAGCCACTCAGGGGTAGTAGTGGCGGGGGGGGCGGGTAAAGGAATATGGCAGCTCCCAGCAAGCCTTCGGTACCCAACTAAGAAGCTTCCACTGTTGAGTCGCCTACTAATTAGCCACCGTTTATTAAGTCTAGTTGTCTCTCAGTCTTTGTGATGTCTCCATATCCTCACAACAACTTCTCGGGGAAAGGATTGCCTTCCCTATTTACAGTTGAAGAAACGGGCTCAGAGAGGGAAAGTAACTTGCACTGAGTCACACAGAGCTGCAATTTGAACCTGAGTTTTAGTGATTCCATTGCTTTTCGTGGTAACTGTCCCACTGCTTGCTTTGTCAATGAGGTCTCCGAGAACCCAGAGGGGTTGGAGCAAGGGCCAGGGGTGGAGCAGGGTGATACCATGTTTTATGGGGGCATTTCTAGGCAAGATGTCTCCCCAGATACACTATGAGCCTGGGCAAGTCTGTCTCAGCCACCTCCTCTGTCCTCTGATGGCAGTCTCCTTGCCAGAACCAGATGCGAGCTGAGTTGAGAGCATCAAGTGGGCCCCAAACCACCAGGGCTCCCCAAGGTGTGGCAGAGTCAGGGTGGAAAGGAGAAGAGCAGAAGTGGGGCAGAAGCTGTTGGGAGCAGGGAGCAACCTGGGGAGTTGACCATTAGAGTCAAAGCTGGACGGCCCTTAGAGGTCTTGTAGTCCAGTGGTCTCTTCTGTACGGAAGAAGGAGCTTGAGACCCACTGGGGAAGGTGGCCTGCCCCAGGTCACCCAAGAGTCTGTCAGACTCTCGACCAGAATCCACACCTCTTAACTCCCAGGCCAGTGCCAACAGGGAAAGTTGGTAAGTTGGTGCCAAGATGGGACAGGTGACAGAGAAAAGCAGAATGACTGCCTGGCTCTGCCACCTCCCTACTGTGTGACTTTGGGGAAGTCACTTCCCTTCTCTGAGCCTCATGGTCTCTTGCTTCAGAACAAGATCATGATCTCAGCTCTGCCTTTCTGCCAAGGAACATCCAGTGAGCGATGAACTTGGAAAGCTCTTTACAATCTGCAGGGCCCTGCAGGAGGAGTCACCAACAAGAGGCAGGCTGGCGCCAGGTGGGTGGGTGCCAGGGCTGGGCCTGCAGCTTCTTGGGTCTCTGCCCAAGCTTTACCATCTGTGTGGTAGCGTCAGCCCCACCTCCTCCCACTTCGCTGCCAGGAAAACGGCTTCTGGGATTCCTGCCCCTTCCCAGCCGGATCCTCTTCTCTCCCCTTCTATTTTAATCAGGACTCTGGGTTGCAAGTGACAGAAATCACAAGTACAAGGAGGGAGAATTCGTTTTCGGCATGGCTAGATCCTCAGACCGAAAACGATGTGGCCTGGGCACTCCTCTCGCTTGTTCACTCTTTCTCCCTTTCTGTCCCTTTGAGATGGCAAAGACAGCCACCAACAGCTCTGAGCAACACTGTACCCATTTAGATACCCTGGCAGATAGCATCTCTGTCCCGGCTGCTTCAGCAGCTCTCTGGGGTGACTCTCAGAAGCAGGCCACAGGGCTAGTGCCCAGCCCTGACCAGATCTCTGTGTGTCGATTATGTGGTTAGGACTGCATCATGAGCCCACTGCTGAAATTAGAGGTGGGCTCAGCCTCACCCAAGGCACATGGACTAAAGGTCCAGGAGGCAGTTCCCAAAACAAAGAGATGGGTTCTTTCACCAGAAGAAGAAGTATTGGACAGTCAATAACAATGGATGTCATTGGCACCTTTGTTCTTAACTATATCAGCTGAAACATTGAACCAGGGGCTCCTGGAAAGGGAGGATTGATTGAATCCTGTATCGGTTAGCTTTTGCTGGGTAACAAATCATTCCAGAGCAGTGGTTTAAAATAATCATTTTATTTAGCTCTTGATTCTATAGGTCAGCTGGGCGATTCTTCTGGTCTGGCTACGTGTTTTTGGTCAGTTGGTGGGTTGGTTGGCATCGGAATGATCTAGGATGGCCTCACTCACATGTCTGATGGTTGACAGGCTGTCATCTGGGGGGCCTTGGTTCTCCTCTCATCCTCCAGCGGGTCACAGGAGCTCTTCCACATGGTGTTCTCTGTGTTACAGGTGTAGGAAGTGGGCAAGCTCCAGGGCACAAGCAATTTTTTCAAAAGGTCTTCACTTGCACCATGCTTCCTAAAGTCCCATTGGGCAAAGCAAGTCACATGACCAAGCACAAAGTTACTGTAGAAGGATACTGCCAAAGAGCATGGGGACAGGGAGAGAAAGAACCTGAGGTCAATTTTGCAACCTACTGTAGCTCCCTTGGGGAAGGGGAGTAAAAAAAAATTCCTTTCTCTGCAGCCCATGGATTTCATGGGCCAGGGCAACCTCTGGATAGCCGTCCTTGGAAGAGGGGACTCAGGCCCAGGGACTTTCCTGGGCCCGTCAGGACCGTGGCTCAGCCCTTGGCCAGGGCTGGGGGAAGCGGTCTGGATCCTAACTCCACCTGCTCCGAGCCCCACATGAGGCAGGGGCAGGTGCTAATGGGGAGCGCCTCTTGGCAGGGAGGAAGGTGTTCTGAACCCCGGCTCCCTTCTGTTAACTGTCCCCAAAGTGATGAGCAGGGCTCCGTCTCAGTTCATCCCCACAGACTTGCTTCCATCTCCCCATCTCCCTGTGCTCTTGCGGGGCTGGGATGGCTCTGGACTTGTGTACAGTCAGGCCACAGTGCCTCGTCACCATGGTAAGGGGTGTCACCTGCTCCACGAGGTCAAGGAGGAGTCCCTGTCCTCCCCTTTCAGGTGGTGACCGTGGCCTCAGCCTGCTCTCTCCCACAGGTCGCTGCGCTGGAGCGGCAGATCTTTGACTTCCTGGGCTATCAATGGGCTCCTATCTTAGCCAACTTCCTGCACATCATGGCAGTCATCCTGGGCATCTTTGGCACCGTGCAGTACCGTTCCCGGTACCTCATTCTGGTATGGCTCCCTTGGCCCCTCCCACCCCCTACCCCTCCAGCCAGAACTGCCCCCCCTTCCCTGGGTGCCCAGACCGCTGCCCTGTCTTAGCTCCAGCCTGGCTGGTGGTGGATGCCCAAGTCCCAATGCTTCTTTGCTCAGCAGAGAGACGAGATTGATATTTTCCCTAAAGGATTTCCTAGGGAAGAATCCAAATATTAACCCGCTAGGTCATTTAGTGAGTGTCTACCGTGTGCGAAGCACACTGCTAAAAGTTTCGCATGTTTTACTTATCTTTACAACAGCCCTGCAAGGGATATCTTACCATCTCCATTTTCCAGATGAGGAAATGAGGCTCAGAAAGGTTACGAGGCTTCCTAAGGTCACACAGCTAATAGTGGCAGGATTAGAGCATCAGATCCAGAGCGAAGGCTCTTGATACATGCCCACGCTGCCTCAGTAAGCCAGTGGAGGGACAGACTTCATCTTCTCTAGTTTCTCAGGTTGCTTTAAGAGGCTGGCTCAGCTTTGGTCCTTTGCTGTTCATCAAGAATGTGGTATGATGGCAAGTGGGGCTTTGGGGTCAGTGCCTTCTGTGCTCTGATCCCAGGAGTGGATTGTGTCTCTGGCTCCCTGTCCTGCTTCCTCTTCCCAAGCCCTGGTCCTTGATGGTCTCTGTTAAACTCCTGTTTTTAGCCAGGCTCACCCTTCTCCCCTGCTTTTCCTCAGTGACCCATCACGTGCCTCTTTGGAGGGAAAAGGGACACCTGTGATGACAATGACATGCTTTGCCATGCTCCTGCCACAGCCCATTCTGGCTCATTCTTGGGCTTTGCCCACCTCCCACGGGCTGAACCTCCCAGAAGCTGGGCGGGCAGGGCCCTTCCGAAGCTCTATCTCGCCCGGGATGGGAGAATCCTTCTCTCCAGCTCTCAGGAGAGCCCCAGGCACTCTGCTAAGCAGCGCTGTGTGCTGGGTGACAACACTGGAATTGCAGGCCCAGGACTTGGGTGGAAATACCCCGCTCCTGTCCAGCTCTGCGGAGCCAGGCTGTGTCTGTTGTTCTCTGCAGAATGCATCGGATTAGCTGCCAGAGGACTGGAGCCTGAGGAGCAGCCCTATCTCTTCCTAGCTGTGTGATCTTGGAAAACTGATACCTCCTCTCTAGCGCTTATGTTGGTTATCTTTAGAGAAAGAACAGTGCCTTCCACGCAGGGCTGTTGTAAGGACCGGATGGATGTAATAATGATTTGTAAACTCTAAAGTGCTCTCTGCGTGAGATAGTGTCATCATTTCTCCTCGCAAAGGCCCCCTCGGTCCCTGAGCTCTGTCTCCATGGACAGGCCCCATCCCCACTCCCCCCAGGCCTCACCCTGATCCCACCTCTCCTTTCCCCAGTATGCAGCCTGGCTGGTGCTCTGGGTTGGCTGGAATGCATTTATCATCTGCTTCTACCTGGAGGTTGGACAGCTGTCCCAGGTAAGCCTCAGGCCTGGCAACGCCAGAGGGCAGAGCCTGACCTTTCCCATCCCCTACCCAGGGGCTCCTGGTTTGGTCTGGGGCATCATCTCTTGAAGAGACCTCCCTCTACACACCCAAATGATCTGTGCTCCGCAGACCCTACCCCCACATTTTAGTTTCTGGCCTCTTCTGCACTTCTCAGAAACAAATGATGGAGCAGATAAAGGCTGAGGGGCCGTGAAGATGGGCTGGGGTCCCACTTGATCACAAGCTCAGTAGAAACCAGCCACTTGTAGTGACCCTGAAAAGTGCTCTTGGGTGGGCCCCACGCGTGTTCAGTGCAAGGGAGGTGAAAATGTCATGTACAGCATTTGCTGCTTAGGCCACAAAGACTTGAGTCCAGTTCTGATCAGTATTTTCAGAAGGGAAAGAGACAAAGTAGTCTTTGGGGAAAATCGAGTGGACCAGATCCCATGCAGAACTATTGAAGAAAGGGGAAGTTTTTAGCTTGTGGAAGAGCAGGCCCAGAGGACACAACTTCTATTTTTAGTATGTAAGAGGGGAAAAGATAGGAATGGGAACACTGGCTTTGTAGTTCTGCTAGATCTAAATCCCGGCTCCAGCATTTCCAAACTGTGACCCCTGGGCATGTGTCTCACCCTCTCTGAGATTGAGTTTCCCTGTCTAGATAACCACTTCGTGTGGTTGCCGGGGATGAAGTGAGATCAGACATCCCACCGCAGGGCTTGGCACCTGGTCAGCACCCAGTGAATATTTGTTAACAGGCTGCATGATGAATGGATTGATAAACACAGAGATGTATGCCGTGGATGAGAACCTCTGATCTAGGCCAGCCCCTTCTGCAATTTCAGATGGGGAGACCAAGGACTAGAGAGGACAGGTTTGCCCAGGGCCACACCCAGAGAGCAGTGGAGAGGCTGAACGGGCTGTGAAGGGGTCTGTATTGAGGATTTCACCCATGGCTGGAAAACTGGACTCAGCCACTGTTAGGGTGCCTTCCATTCCTGAAACTTTGGGGCTCCTATGGGTCGGTCAGCGCCAGCCCTTCCATCTCTGATCGAAGTGTGAGACCTACGTAGTCATCAAGCGCCACCTACTGGCCAAATATAGACTTGCAGAAATGGACTCCCTCCACACTCTTCAAAGCAAGCCAGGAGAGGAGGCAGCTACAACAGTCCAGGTGTGACCTAGATCTTATAAAAAGTTTCCTGGGGCCTGAGAAGGATCCCCCCGCCCCTGGCCCCAGCTCAGTATCCTAGGCCCCTCTGCCCCCAGGACCGGGACTTCATCATGACCTTCAACACGTCCCTGCACCGCTCCTGGTGGATGGAAAATGGGCCAGGCTGCCTGGTGACACCTGTCCTGAACTCCCGCCTGGCCCTGGAAGACCACCATGTCATCTCTGTCACCGGCTGCCTGCTTGACTATCCCTACATCGAAGCACTCAGCAGTGCCCTGCAGATCTTCCTGGCTGTGAGTCCTCCTGTCCCCTGGCCCACACACTCCCAGAGGTGGACTCCACCCCAACCCCTTTGTTTAGCTCTAGTTAAGAAGGGGAGAACCTAGATCTTCCAGCCTGCCTGTGCTTCTGCCTGGCTCTGTCTCCATATCTTGTATCTCCTCCCTTCACCCCCTGCCCCAGCTCCCATTTCAGGAGTGAGCAGGTTTTTATGAATAGGATGAGTCATCAGACTATGAGTCAACCCAGTCTCCAGTGTATCCACTGTGTGACCTTGGGCAAGTCACTTGCCCTCTCCAAGCTTATATGCTTATTTACAGAAATTCATGACCACATCAACTGTGTAGAGTTGTGAGAGTTAAAGAAGAATGGCTCCAAGATAGTAATATAGGTCCCAGTCTTGCCCTCAGCACTCCACACACCCAAAGCCACATAATCCTCGTTCCTCTTAACAAATCAGTAAAGTATTGCCCAGACAGCTAGGAAAACTGAGGCCCAAAGAGGTAAAATAATGACTTGTCCAAGTCCATTCGCAGAACGGATAATGGAACCAGGTATGTTTGACTATAAAGCCCAGTCATTTAACTTGAAGTTGTTATGGGTTGGCCTTCATCCTCAGACACCCAGTCCCTCCCGTCCTTCTGGGCCCGGCCAGGCAGGGGGTGGAGGAAGAGCTTCTGTCTTCTTTCCTTTCACCCCCAGCTGTTTGGCTTCGTGTTCGCCTGCTACGTGAGCAAAGTGTTCCTGGAGGAGGAGGACAGCTGTGAGTGCCGAGCCCCTAGGGAACGGGGAAGCCTGGCCACACACCACCCCGTGCCTTCAGCACCCTGGACAGAGGCCCGCGCGGCCTAGGCGGGAGGAGACCTGAGTTGGCCAACTCTTGGTGGGGAAGAAGAGGCGGCAGGGGGGGTGGCGGTCTGCATAGCCAGCGCATTTTGGGCTGTGACCCAGACATCCAAGTGCCCAGTGCACGGCTCCAGCACTGCTCCCCACCCACTCCTCTTAGGTTCTGTCCCTCGGAGGAGCTCCACGAGGCTCGCCCCTACCAAGGACCTCCCGTGCCCAGCCTTGTCCCCCGACTACCGTCCACCCCCACCTCCCAGGTCTTGCCCCCTTAAGTGGCTCAAGCCCTGCTCCCTTAAAGGACGGCCCGCCCCCCGAGGCTTTCTATCCACTTGGGCTTTGGCCCACTCTGGCTGAGCTCCTGAAAATCCCGCTCTGGCAGCAAAGCCCCGCCCTAAGGCCCTGTACAGGGGTCTGGCCCTCAGATTCTTCCTTTTCAGGACCTAGCCTCCCATAACTCATACCCCACAGGCTCATCCCTAACTATGCGCCACCTCCCCTTCCGCAGTTGACTTCATCGGTGGCTTTGACTCCTACGGATACCAGGCGCCCCAGAAGACGTCACATTTACAACTGCAGCCTCTGTACACGTGGGTCATGGTGCCCAGCGGGGTGGGGTGGAGGGACTAGGGCGTTGCTGTAGGGGAAAGAAGGGCAGGGAGGCGCGGGGAGGGCAGCCGAATCTCTCTGCGGGTCCACTTCCCTAACCTGCCTTTGTTTCCTGCAGGTCGGGGTAGCTTCTGTCCCGCGCCCATCCAGTTGCCATGAGCTTGACGGCTGGACTGAAGCCCTGGCGCGAGCTCGGGCCGAAATAGCAGGCGCGCCCCCTGGCGGCTCGCGAACCGACTGCAGCCTGCGCCGGCTGGGTCTGCGGCGGACTTGGACTTGGCCCTTCCAGCCTGGCTCCAGGGGTGGGACGGGCTGGGCGGGGGAGGGGATCGCGGGGTTTGTATTTTTTTTATCTCAGCCTTGGCGTGCGCTGGGGCCTCCCTCCCTTCTTCAGCCGCTCCCTTTAGAAACCCTTCACCCCACTTCCGGTCCCCTGTCCAGAGAGAAATGGCATTCGCCCCATCTCACCACACTTGTTCACCAGCCCTGGGGAGAGTTACTGTGAACTAGAAGCAGGAGTCCTGGGTTCCAACTGCAGCTCCATCACCAACTCTCTGTGTGACATCTGGCAAGGCCCTTCCTTGCCCTCTCTGGGCCTCAGTTTCCCTCAATTAAAATAATCTCTTAGCAGATGGAGCTCTTTCTAGCCTTTTCATTTGACTCTTAATTCCAGGGGCTAGGCTGGGATTATAATTCCCATTTTGCAGATATGGAAACTGAGGCCCGGAGATATGAAGCGATTTGCTTGAGGCCACACAGCTAGGCTTTTGGTGGAGGCAGGCCTTGAACACAGCATACCTTCTGTAGTTTCAGACCCCAAAACCCAGTGTCTGGTCTCTGAATCCCATTTCCAAGCCCCCATCCAGCTGGGACACTCTAGAACCCACGTGATCTACATCACACACACCACCACCACCACTCGCCAGCGCCTCTCTTGAAGCAATATACCTGTTCTCCTGTTGGGAACCAGATGAACAGAGCCCAGAGCCCTGAATTCAGCCTGACCCACAGGGAAGCCCTCCTAGACTCGGCCCCCATCCATCCTTGGCCAACCTTTCAAGCTCATTACAGTAAGGGGGAGTGGGCATATCTCAGCCACCCCACCCCCTTCCAGGTCCCTGAGGCCGGGTCTGCTGCAGCCATGATCCCCTGTCCTCTCAGCAACTCCACCAACCCCTGATGGCTCCATCCACGTCACCCCTGGGAAGGTTCCAGAATGGAAGACAGCTGGTCAGCACCTCCTGATCACCAGGTTTCAAAGATCACCAGCGTTTATGACCACTCCAATGTCCAAGAGAAACCTCTAACAAGCCCAGAAGGAGTTGTGAAGAGGCAGACTGGGAGTGTGGGTCGTGGTGTGGGGTCGGGAGGGCCAGCACCCCTGAGAGCAAATAGAGATAAGAGCTCATTCTCCCCATCTCCTTCCACAGACACCCCTGAGGACCTTACTTCCTGTGTACTGGCCGTGAGTCCAAGGGCAGGAGGGGCAGCCCTCAGCCTCCCAGTCTGTGAAACAGGAGTGGCCCTGGATTAGGAGGGAGGGCAGGAGGTGTGGGGGAATGGGAGGGAAACGCAGATAGTTTGTATGCCTGAGCCCATCCATGGTGACCCTTCACTCCTTGCTCTCTACCCTCTGATCTAACCCTCCCGACATCTGAGGCCAAAGCATCCTGAGCTAGGACCCCACCCCACCATCCCCTCTGCAGTGCTCTGCCAAGGAGCCAGCCCCAGGAGTTCCACTGGTCACCCCAGGCACTGAGGCCCCGTATAGTCTGCCCCGGTAGCTAGGAGTTCCGTTCAAGAAGGGGGCAGCTCCCTTCAGACCTGGCTGCTGTCCTGCCACCAGCCCACTCCTGTCTCCAGCCCTTTCCTCCCACCCCCACTCCCCAGCCTCCTTTCTACTCAACGGGTTTAGCCACTGGTGCTTTGAAGCCTTTTGTTTTTATAAGATGGTTTTTGCAAGGGACCAAGTTCTTTTCTCACTGGGACCTTGCAAGCCAGGGAGTGTACCCTGGTTTCTGTGCAGGTGGGTTAATTAAAGATGGTGTTTTCTTCTCTATCATCCTGTTCTCCTGCCCGGTGAGTCAGCAGGGTCCCTGCTTGAAGGTGAGCAGGGGCTGGGAGTCAATGTCATTGTCATAATCATTCCTGGGGCACTGGCCTGTGCTTCTGACTGGCTGTGTAGCTTTGGGAAGTCACTCTTCCTCTCTTTCCTCATCCATAAAATGCAGAGGTGGGGCTCAATCAGTGGGTTCCCAAGCCTGGCTCACAATCCCTTGGAGAACTTTCTATTCATTTTTCTGATTAAGTGGATTGTAAGTTTATGCTTCCAAATATCCTTTGCTTCTCAAGTCTGCCCTCTTCCTGACAACTCAGTTCCTGACTTAGAATGAGCTGGCAGACAATGCTTTAGATGTAGATTCTTGGGACATCCTGGATCTTTTCTAGCAAGACAGCCAGAATCAGTATTTTGAATATTTAAAATTTTACTTACTTTTGTGAATAGATAATATGTATATTGGTACAGAATTCAGAAAGTTCCAAGGCTTTATGTCTTTTTACCTATTTTTCGTATCTTTCCAAAGAGAGACAATTCTTCGTTAACTGACGTAAATATTTTTTCCCCTTTTCACACAAATGGCAACATGCTCTACTCAATCTTTGACTTCCTACTGCTTCTTCTACTTAACTCTGAACCTTTGAAACCTTCCCCCAATAATACACGTGGAGCTGCCTCCCTTTCTTCCATGGTGATTTGGCAGAATTAGGACTTGTGTGAAGATTCCCAGGTAATCCTGATGCAGCTAGGGGCTAAGAACCAGAGGTTCTACACAAGATGCCCCAAGTTCATGATGCAAACCTCCGCGGACCCCTCCTGGCCATGGAGTTCGGAGGAAGATCAATCACAGACAATGTCTTCAAGGAGTTTATGGTTCAGTGGGGAGCCCCCAGGATGCGGCCGCTGGTGGGTGGTCAGTGCTGAGGACAGGGTGGAATGAAAGGCCACCTGAGGGTCCTGGACAGGGACAGCAGCATGAGCACAGGTGTGGAGGGAGGGGAACACGTGGTATCAGGGGAGGGGAAGAATAGCCGGGGACAAACTGGTTGGAGGGAACTTTGATGGGGAATGTATTAGTTTCCTATTGCTGTCCTAGATTACCACAACATTAGTGTCTTTTTTTTTTTAAGATTTTATTTATTTATTCGACAGAGAGACAGCACAACCAGGCAGAGTGGCGGGCAGAGGGAGAGGGAGAAGCAGGCTCTCCGCCGAGCAGGGAGCCGGACGTGGGGCTCGATCCCGGGACCCTGGGATCATGACCTGAGCCGAAGGCAGCCGCTTAACCAACAGAGCCACCCAGGCGCCCACATTAGTGTCTTAATACAAATGTAATGCCTTATGGTTCTGGAGAGGTTGGACGTGAGTCTCACTGGGGTAAAGTCAAGCTGTCTGGAGGGTCTAGGGGAGAATCTATGTCCTTGCCTTTTCTAGCTTCTAGAGGCTACCCCCATTTCTTGGCTTGTGGCGCCTTCCTCCATCTTCAAAGCCAGCAATGTCCTATCTCTCTGACCTTCCATCATCACATCTTCCCACAGCCATGAAAGGTTCTCCACTTTTAAGGGCTCCTGTCAGTAGGTTGGGCCCAACCAGATAATCCAGGATGATCTCCCCATCTCAAAGTCCCTTTTGCCATGTAACACATTCACACGTTCCAGGGGTTAGAATGTAGACACCCTTGGGAGCCATTATTCTGCCTTCTAGGATAGGAATTGTATCCAGATTATAGCAGCCCTGATGTCAAATCAGAGCACATCAGCCTGACTGATGTAGATGGGAACTACTGAAGGATTTTGAGCAGAAGCTGCTCCGTTAGAGCTGTCTTTATGGGAAAAGATATTTGCAAATGACATATCTAATAAAGAGTTAGTATCCAAAATACATAAAGAACTTGTAAAACTCAACACCCAAAAAAATAGTTAATCCAGTTTAAAAGTGGGCAGAAGACATGAGTAGACATTTTTCCAAAAAAGACATACAGATACATGAAAAGATGCTCAACATCGCTCATCATCAGGGAAATACAAACCAAAACTACAATGAGATATCACTTAACGCCAGTCAGAATGGCTAAAGTTAACACAGGAAGCAACAGGTGTTGGTGAGGATGCAGAGAAAGGAGAATTCTTTTTACACTGTTGGTGGGAATGCAAGCTGGCACAGCCACTCTGGAAAACAGTATGGAGGTTCTTCAAAAAGTTAAAAAAGAACTACCCTATGACCCAGCAGTTGCACTACTAGGCATTTACCCAAAGGATACAAAAATGCTAATTTGAAGTTTTAAGCAGCAATGTCCACAATAGCCAAATTATGGAAAGAGCCCAAATGTCCATCAACTGATGAATGAATAAAGAGGATGTGGAGTCTATATACAATGAAATACTACTCAGCCATAAAAAAGAATGAAATCTTGTCATTTACAACAACACAGATGGAGCTAGAGAGCATAATGTTGAGCAAAGTAAGTCAAAGAAAGACAAATACCATATGCTTTCACTCATATGTGGAATTTAAGAAACATTAGAGCTGTTCTCTAGCAAGAATGGGCAGGGCTGGAAGCGGGTGGAGGAAGAAGGCAGGAAGCAGTGATTCATCAGGAAGAAACCTCAGATTTCTCACAACCCTCTGTAGATGTGTGTTCTTGGGGATCCATGTGTGACAATGAGCTCTATGTGTAAATTTGGGGGGGTAATGATCAGCATGAACTGCAGGAGGCAGGCATACCTAGGTCCAAATTCATGACTCTGGAACTAGTTGAGCTGGTCTTCCTACAAAGCCCAGTAAAGATCCCCCAGCTCCTGCCATCCTGGGGCCCCCTCCCAGCAACCTCCACACACTAGAATAATCCAGGTAGGACAGGCCATCTTCCAGTAACTGCTGAATCACAAAGGGAGCCAAAGCGTTCTTTAAAGCTAGAATGTGAACACCCCAAGGTACATTTGACAAGCGCAAGAGTTTACTGGGACTTATACACACACGAGTGTTTTCTTTAATGCATTGGAATTGGATCTTGCAGTTTCTAAACAGATTAGGAATGGGGGGTGTGGCTGACACCAAGACCCCATTGCCTTACAGGATTCACTACTCCACAGGCTGCTGCCCCAGGGCACTGTTTCTAGTTTCCAGAGCATAAGAATCCCTTAACATCCGAATTCCTGATCCTGAGCCAGAATGTACTGAACCCAACATCTCCTAGGCAGTGACAGGAAAACTGCATTTTTTTGCAAGTGCCCCCTGTGATCC